AATTTAACCTGCTCCACTCTTGTTACATATGCATTGAAAGCGTGCTTCTGCTTCCACTTCTACTGCTGCGGTTGTTGACATGGGCGATGGACGACACACCTAGGCGTTGCGAAGTGGATGCAAAAGGTTTAAAACAGCCAGGGTGCTTTGCCCTTTGCCACCTTGGCTGCCTAGCTACATGTGAAGCAGCATGACACTCTCCTCAAGCTACCAGCATGTCTGAGACTGATGCTTTGCAAGCTGCATCGCAAATGCATGCATTCAAGCCTCCTGAATCCAACGGGAGGGCAGCGGGCGTCGCCTCATAGGCAGGTGTGATCGCCACAACCCCGGCGCACGCACAAGATTCTGCTGCAAAGAGAAGTAATTTATAGCATCCAAGAATTTTAGTGCATGGTAAGGTCGATTACGCGTTGGTGCAGCAGATCACTACAGCAGGCAGCAGGTGCTGTTCAAGCTTGCAAAGGCTGGGCTACACGAGGGTAGTTGATGATGAAATTTTTCGTGCAGTGAAACGTATTCTAGCATCGCTTTCAAGACGCACAGGGCACGGGCAACATCGCCTGCCGCAACTCGAATTCCAAGCAAAGCAGGTACGCATGCTACAGCGTGGGCGTGCATGCACTTAATTTATTTTTCACCCGCACTCGGGCCCTCTTGTCAGCGTGATCTGGGCATGGAGGTGATCTGAGCGGGGTGCCCTGGTGTGTGTATGTAGATGCCTGCCCTACTGCTAGCCAGGGATCAGGGGTGGGGTGAGAGTTCTTGCGCCCACTCTCCAGCACATATACATCACATTACTGCCCATGCATATTGCTCCAGCCAAGGGGCGCCCTGCCCCGTTTGAATCCAAGCCCAGGGCACACACCACCTTGCTGCACAGGAGCGCCCGTACCCATCGCAGCAACGGCCGCCCGCAATCAACCAGACGCGGGCTGCAGCGGCGCGGGTGGCCTGCCGCAGGCCGCGGCCACGGGTGACGGATCTGCGGCCTGGTGACGCCGCCCCCCCCCCCCCCGGCCTACGGCGCCAATGGCGACGTCGGCGGTGGG